AGCAGCTGAAAGCGAGAAATTTTATTAAATTAAGTAAGATGTGCATGCGTATATATGTATGTATTTCTAACAGTAATTTACTTCAAACAAGTAAGAGCAGTGCTGTCTTCGGCTATGCCGAGGGCCTCATGAACATCAGAAAATTTAATTTTAAAAGACATTTGAAATTACATAGTCGTTCGAGAGCTAAACGAAGTTTTTATATCCACATCATTCATAGATAGAGGAGTTAAATACGTTGCATATGTATAAAAAATCATATCTAAAGAAGTAAAAAAGTCTAAATTCGGGAGGAGCCGAACATTAGAGTTTTTTTCACCTTTCCGAAAACTCCCGCTACATGGTAAGCAGGGGTGCATACCTATTTCAAACATCTTCGATAAACTTATGTAGTTAAATGTAGGCGGTATTACGCCCATTTTCAAAAATTCCATAATAATGCTACTTCTTTTCAAGTTTCACTGTAAGTATTTTGTTTGTAATGGGTGGAAATAGTGCGAAATTTCATGTTCCTAGCTGCTTAAGTGGAAGAGTTATAACGAAAAATCTCATATCTGAACAATCAGTCGTATGGAAGCTATTTTTTATAGTGGTCCGATTTTTCTAGTCTAGATTTTAGTGGGTCTATCTCTACTTATTCTGGTACTTACAAACATCAGACTAAAGTTATAATACCATTTCATGCTCATGAAATGTATTGGCGAACATTGTCGATGCCCTTAAACTCACCTTCATATTCGTTCGGCACACAAGCAGTCTTCTCGAATTCGGCACCACGACACTCGTTCGCTGAGGGCACATCGACCATGCACTTGCGGTGTCGAATGCGTATGCCATCGCTAGTACATTCTGACCAAGCGCTCCATGTGCTCCAACCAACGAAATCTGCAAGTTAAAAAAATAATAAAATTTATTCACATGTACATGTGAAGAAACACCTCTTAATTTGCTTCACTCACCAGTACACGGCGCCATAGCGCATTTCTCCTCCTCGATCGCCCTACCATTGCACAACTTATCGTGTCCACCTAAGCAACGCCTCGTACGGCGCTTTATGCCCATACCGCATGTCACCGAACAAGGTGACCAATCCGTCCAACAACTCCACTCGTGCGCTAGGACTACCTCATTTAGATTCGCCGCCGGTAGCACGGAAGATTCTTCGCAAGGTTGTATATTACACACACGTGCCTGTGTGGCATGGCGTCCCCGATGCTTGCCACCACTGCCGGCATCATGTAGCCGATATTGAATGCCACCGCCACAACTGGCACTACACGGACCCCATTCGCCATGCTCTTCACGTTCCTCCGACACTGCTGGTATGGCAACTGCTGCTGTCGAGCCGCCGTACACTTCGTGGTGTCGCTGGCAACTGCCATCCGCGTGGCATGTACGCGTTTCTTCCTTCGCCAATGTTAAACGCAAACTATTCAAGTCAGTTGTGCTGCCACGGCAGGCATATCTAAATCGACGCTCAACGTACGTGCCACTTGCTTCGGCGCTCTTACGGCTGTCATTGTAGTCTACCAACCAGGGCGTCCAGGAGCTCAGTTTCTTCACTTCGGGACAGGCGTGCACATTACACACTTCGTAGTCGATGGCACAGCCAGGACATTCCTGGCCGTCGTTCTGTGGCGCCGGATCGTTACATTCACGGCGACGTATGCGAAAACCGCCGCCACAATTCGCGCTGCATTCGCTCCACACTCCCCAGGGACCCCAACCACCATCGATTGCTTGCAATTTGGGCGTGGGGCAAGGTGGCAAATGACGGCAGTACATCTCTTGATGATCGTCCCCTACACAAGTGCGACCGCCATGCGCTGGCTTCGGATTGCCACACGTTCGCCGCCGCGTCTTCACCGCAATGCCACAGGACTGCGAACATGCAGACCACTCCGACCAGTTTGTCCAATCACCATGTACGGTGCAATTCGTCACTTCCGTTGTTATACCATCGCAAGAGCGTCCGCCATTTTGCGGTTGCGGATTGTTGCATTCACGTGTGCGGCACATGCAGTTGCCATCATCATCACCATGTTTCTTGCATTTATACCACTCCGACCAGGTGGACCAGGCGCCATCGATGGGTGCATTCAAGATGGGACACTGTAAGGTGTCGGGTTGTAGCCAGAATTTATTTAATTGCAGCACCAATTCTTGGGGCGTGCAACGCTCGATCAGCTCATTCCAACCGCAATACGGATCCATAGCGTTCAAGCAACTGCTCTGCGATACATGCCGACTACAACGCTGCGCCGGTATACGCACTAGTGACTGCTCAGTGCCGAGATACAGCGACTCAGTTACCTTGAGGTACTCCATTTTTAAAATTTCACCATCAGCACCACTATACTCCGCCGACTGCCACACCTCAACTAAGCACGTTTGCGCTCGACGCTCTTCTATCTGATGTTTGACGGAAAGTTTCTTGATGCGCTTGTCATCGGTGGACACGAACAAGACATGGACCTTTTCGGTTTTTGTTTGTAATGTATCCAAAGCTATATGATGGAAACGTTCCAGTTTGGAGTAGTATAGAGGTTGCTCGGTCATTGGTTGTACGGCTTGGGCCATAAGTTGGAATTTAGATGACTCGAGTAGACGCTTGTAGCGCATATCTGGGGAGGGTGTTTCGCATTGGAACTGGCTACGATGAGGCATATCTACAATGCGCCAGTCGGAATCGGCAGAGTCTTGATAGCGGAACGGGCCATCGAAGGCGGCATTTATTGCCGAGAGATTGTATGAACATATCGCTGAACCGTGAATGCTATTTCTGTGAGAAACGAATGAGAGAGGGAGGGAGAGAGAGAGAGAGAGTTAGCAAGATATTTTTCGATAAATTTGGTTTAATTCAAAACAGCATGAGCCTACTCACTCTGGTGTAGTAAAAGTCGCATGGAGAACATCCTCATCCGCCGAATAGGTCATGCCTTGTATCTCATCGAAATAAAACGGATACTCGCCGGGTAGTGAGCAATTCAGGCGCGCCTTAACGAACGAAGTCCAACTGTTTTTCAAAATGTGGTCGCCACCAACGTCATTTTTGCAAACCCGCACAATGCGCGAATAGATGATCTGTAAGTAAGGAAGTGTTGTTTTTTAAATATAATTGGGACTTATGAATTCTTATTTCTATCAGAACCAACCTTGCCCCAATTGCTATACTCCACAGCCGGCTCACGGAATAGGAAATAAACGAAATTGCCAGCCTCGAAGCTGCCCACGAAATGCGGATTATTCAACCAGTTGTTGTTGTATTGTTGAGTACGTACAATATGTCGATAGCCAAACTGATTGAAAGCAAGATACAAAAAAAAAAATCAAAATATTATTATGCATTCATCAGAGCGTGGCGGCAACATCTCCGACAACTTACAATTTTCTTTGGCTGCACCTCGGTGCGCAAAATCGCCGCATCGCCACCTGAGAAGTCGGTCGCTGTGCCCACAAACATCTTATCAGTGCTGGACATTAGACTCGTTATGCTTGAATGCGGATTGAAGGGACACTTTCCCACACCATTATCATAGGCCACAATAGTAAGGTTCTCCATCTGTACAAGCACAAACAAAGCATTGGTAATGAAGCGTGAAAAAAGCAAGACAAGAAAAGAGATTGCGAAATGCAATGAATTATTGATTGCCTAGCGAATTAAGCAAATACAGCTAATCCAGCAACCACTAACAATCAAGCACAGGCGAGCAACGAAACAACCAATCGACAAGTCAACTACGCAACAAACGAAACAACTAATAATCCCACCAGCTTACATGCAACTTGCAACTTGCTAATATTTGCTGCTAATGTTTATTGCACTAGCTGTTCATTTTATTTGCTGTTTCGATTTGTTTTCAGTTTTTTTTTTTTTTGTGGACCTATGCCAACGCTTGATGACTGGTTGCATTGATTGTAGTTAGTTTGTGTTTAGTTATTTTTTTTTGTAATTTTTCGTTTTTCTTAAGACATGTGTCTGAGTACCAACCTGGCGCCATGAACATTGCGGCTGAAAGGCGTTCGTCCCACACGCGTACAACTGATTCTCACCATAGCTCTGCAGTACGCGCACATAGTTGCGACACAAACGCTCCGACTGGCCTTTTACCTGACAAATGCCGATCTGTTCGGGCGGTGCAGCCCAAATGGCACGTTCCAGTGGCTCCAAATCGAAGGACATGCGATAAATTGAGTCGCTGTGTGTGTGTGACAATAAAAAAGACGAAAATAATTGGTTATTTTTGGATTTCATGCGAATGGTTAAAAAAGTGCATGGTTGCTAAATAAAAAAATATATACATACATACATATATTACAAACGAAATATATATGTCCATACATACATACAATTTAAGAAAATTTATTGCTTATATAAATGCTTGAGGGATTTATGCGTTTTAAGAGTGGTTGTGAACGCTTTTGGGCACTTTTAATTTTACCTATTTTAATTTTAATCAGGTGTTGGATGGACAAGTTTATAAACGAGCGCAAACATATGCCATGCTTGTGGGAAAGTAGAACACTTGCGAATACGTTACTGACATCAAACAACAAACAGCATGGTCATATGATAGATTTTTAAGCACGAAAAGTCGGTTTAAATCTACGTTGCTGTGTGCAGTTTTCCCTAAGAAATAAGCTTTACTTTAGTGCTGTCTACTCATAGGCTTCGAATTGAAAGTATATTTCTCCAGTGTTTTTTTTTTTTACCTACGTCAAGGCAATATATTTGACGTCTATTTTAAATGTCTTGATTGTCTGAGCTGCTCGGCAAGACAAGCGCTGCAAACTCAAAATTAAAACGTTCATTGTCAGGCTATTAGTCGATGTGTTGGGCAGGACTCCTATGACTATTCAAGACAATACTCTTCAGTAGAGTGAAAAATAATATTGATCCCCTTGTAAAGCTCCTTCAGTTCGTTTTATGTTCAAGGGGCCCTAAAGCTTATTAGAGCACTTTAAAGGCTCAATATTTATCGTTGTTTTTGCAACAGAAACCGAATTGGTTACTTACGAAAATGAGTCTGTCGATAGGTTTGGGATTTTATAATTTATTTTGGAACGAATTTCCGTCATCCCTTGTCAAGCTTGCTTTGCAGACAAACCGGTTTCGGCGTTGAGCCATCTTCAGTGCCATTTTTTGTTCGGGATTTTATCTTTGAAACGCCACACTTTTCTTTAAACTCGCTTCATTAGTTCTCGTGCAATATAGAGTTTGTGAAGCTCCAAAAATTACAACTGCAACATTTGAGCATAGCCTCCATATCGAAACGTAAGACGCATTCTTCGTCGAAAACTGTAATTTGCAGTTGAAACTGTAAGTCTGGCAACATAGCGTATACACGTTTATTGTTCAGAATCTTTTTTTATTCTCCTGTTCCCAGAAACCTTGCAGCTGACAGCAGTTTCCCTTTTTATTATCTTTCTACCTCATACAGTCTCTAAACTATTGTTCACAACACACGAAATGTGTAGGCTCGTTTTGAATCAAATGCAATTACAAATTACAATTTAAGCGTAGTTTAAATAAAATTAATACATTTCAACTTATATTAACGCCATCAAGGTTACACTCAAATATTTTTAGCATTTAAAATTTCAATGCCATAACTCTTAGCGTTACGCAGTTCGTTTGGCATGAAGGTGGGTGGAACGAACCAAGTCAAATGCAAGTTTCAAGCGCTTGCGACCATGGCGTTCATATCTACGATGTAGGTGAAAAGCTTAAACAAACTAATCCTTTTGTTTCAAATTTACATGCCCAGAGGAGGGCGCGTAGAAAATGTATTAAGTGATAAACTACAAAGGCTTAAAAACATTTAACGGCAAGTCAGCAGCTCTTAACCCAAAATTTAAATAAGCAAAACTATGTACATACACCTGAGAAATGTATTTGCGCAGGCGTCAACAAGTGTGTCGCGCGCCACCACTATCTCAGTCGGCGAAATATGCCAAAAAAAAGAAAAAAAAATTACTTGCCAGAACGATTATGAAAATATTCAACGACCAACTGCCTCACTTTTAGTTTGTGCCATACATTTTTAATAACCCAAAATTAAGTAGTTTATCGATGAAAAATAAATAAATACGGTTACGAAAATATGCAAATTGCCAAATGAGAAAAAAACCGAACCGAACAAGTTTTCGGCACTGCAAATAGCAATTGCCGACATACTGACTGACAGTCTGTCTAACTGACTTCTACACTAACTACTTGACCAACATGCGGCCTGACTTTCTGCACCTGCTCCACCGTCCCCATCCAAGTCTGTCTGTAAGTCGGGGCTGGCTGCTGCCGTTTAATTACGAATGCGAATGCAAAATTTATGCGTGAGAGTGCGCACACGCTTGCAACCTGCAATGCATGAACAGCGGCGACAGCAATGCCATCAACAGCTGCTTTGTTGCTTGTTAAGCTGCCTGCAAACGCCATCAAATCGGCCAAATCGACGACGGCCAGGCAGCCAACAAATAACGCTCGCGGCGGTAGTGAATCGTACAACAAATGGCGGTTCCCCACTTGGCACGCGGTTGCTTGAAATGCGGCGGCTGAAGTGACAGCGGAAAACGCAGCCAAATAGCAGCAGCTTTGGGCAAACTATCAAACTGCTTGCGCAACAAAAACCGTTTGCTGCTACAGCAGCAGTGCTGGTATTTCGCAGCAGCGGTAGTAAAAGAACGTCGCCATTAAGGCGCTAGGCAACCGCCCACACGTGGCGGCCAAAGAGCGGAGCACTTCAAATCACGAAAAATAAGTCGAATTTGAAGCCTGAAATGTATTGCTGGCGTCTAGAAGTCGGATTGAATGCTTTTAAACTACATACATAGATACATATACTCTTGTTGGATTTGTATAAGACTGTAGTTGTTTTTGTTTCTATAGCCGGCTGTTGTTGTAGTATTGGGTTTTGCATATGCAAGTTGCAATTTATAGGCAATGCACTTTGCAATTGAGTCAAATTTCTATGAGTTTTCTGCGGTTAGTTGGCTTTTGCGCATGCGCCTGAACCGTTGTAGCAGCATGTTTTGCATATGTCGTTAACAGGCGATAAAATATCATGAGTGACAATTGTGGTTTGCAAGGTGCGCGGCAAATACACAAGTCAACTTTGAAGCAGAAGTCGAATAGGCATGTGAATGCAACAACGTGAAAATATACACAATAATAAGGAATAAACATAGAAAATTTAAAAGTAATATTCGTACCCAAATTGGTAGGAAATATTTAAAGGGCACCAAAATATGATTATAAAAAATATTCTCTTTGATTCACATGTCCTACACCAATGCATATTTACAACTAGAATGTCTGTTTATAGGTTTTTAAATATTTTATAGTTTATTGTTGGAAACTGAATACAAAATACTTATAACTATTTATGTCATCATCCTACCCTATGAAATCGTGCGACAGTAAATTTTACACACAAAAGTCAAAATATTCGCGAATCCAGGGGCAAAAATAGTAAAACTGCATTTTAAGTTCATCCGTCTGATGTTGGGCTGTTTTTAAAACGTCTTAGAAATTTCAAATTTATGATTAATTCAAAAAATTTTGTGCAATATAGAATAACAATAAAGGTATAAAATAAAAGAGAAAGTTCTGTAGAGTTAAAAAATTACAATTCTTAATGCATAATGACGAATAGGTATTGAGAATGTCCTTTTTCCCTAAATTTCCTTGAAAAGTAGCAATATTTATTTTTGAAAAAAAGGAATAAAATACATATATACCTGGCTATATGCTCGAACTCCTACTTCTAACAATATTGGCTTAAAAAAATAAATTTGAGTGAAGAAGGCATTTTTAATACCTATTTGTCCTTATGAGCAAAAAAAAAATTTACTTATTTAATGGCCATCTCCTTAGTATTTGTGCGTAGAGGGCCAAGGGAGGGCAACATCTTTCTATAGAAAATAAAATTCCATAATTCTACAGTATTTCCTTACTCATACTTCTATTTTACATTGCACTGAATTTTTTCAATGATTTTTTTAATTAATCATAAATTTTGATATTTGGAAGTCCTTTTAAAAAAATCCTTACGTCAAAGAGAAAAACTGAAAATGCAGTTTCACTTTATCCGGCCCATAATTCTGTGAGCATATTAATTTTTTCGTATGCTTTGAAATGTTTCGATTTTTTGTAGCACGGTGTTATCAGGACAGTCTGAAAGGCTTTTCTAAATTTTGACGAGCGATCCAAGTGCTTTTGGGGCTTCGAACCGAAGCATTATATGATTTATTAAATTTCAACATTTGAACCGAACCGAACCATACTTCAGAGATATTTTCGAATCGGTTCTTCCACCGGTACACATTTTTAGACGTGGTCTTTAACGAGGTCATCTACCTTTGTGGCATTTTACAGCATTTTCTCACAGTTACTGGTCGGTATATAAAACTAGCGTATCGGGTTAACAGCAGGGGTGTAACAGAATTGGACATGTGAAATTTCTGAATGTGAATTTTTCGGCTGTCACATAGCGTAATTTATAGGCGGTGGCGTATGAGTAACTTCCATCCGCTACAGATTTCTGAGTAAGAGGCACATATTGCCCAAATTTTGCGCATTTATTTAGCATGGCTTCATATATGTAGTTTAATAAACAAATCTTTGAACTATGAGCTTCAATTGTTAAAAGCAATTAAATAAGTTAATAGTTAAGACATATTCACATTATCGTGATTTACGGCTCATTTGTAATTTATAAGCAATCATGCTGAAATCAAGTAATTTCCCTTTGTAAAATTTGCCAACAAATTAAATATAAATGAGATAATTTATCATAAATTCAGAACCAAAAAAAGAAAAAAAATTTCATTTATTTTAGCCCCCACTGTTGAGGAAATTTGAAAAAATGCCTAAAGGTATGCAACCATTTGTGTTTTGAAATCAAGTACAAACCACATACTCGTACGTACAAATGCTAACCACATCTATAGAAATTATGAAAGAAAGTGTGAACTTACTAGAATTATGTGATGTAATTTGATCACAACAAAGTAATTTATGAATATAGTTTTAAGCGAAATATTTTAAAATGGTTATAAAGGGAGAGAGGCTTTACGAAAACTGTATCTATTCGAAAGCTTGTTTACGAGGCTTGCCACGAGCTTAAGAAGATTAATTTAAATGACAAATCAAACGAAATTTTACAAATGTTATAAATGTGAAAGTTTTTGAGATAGCTTA